GACAGATGAGTCTTCAGTTGCTGAACAACGTACGAATTATCTAAAATAATTGCATACATCGAGCATCCGCATGTTGGTACTTAGACGTTTCTGGTATTGGAAGATCTCTTGTTTATGGTAAACAACTGACATATAAAAAATAATAAATAAATAACAAATTCCCTGCGATTATCCAACAATCCGATGGAACGCAGCGCGATTGAGAATCAGCGAGGAAACTCACAATCGGCGATTATATAAATATAGTTGCGGTCGTAGTTTGCAGTGGTCTCAGCAGGTTACGCTGATTTGATTAGGACGCATCAATCTTCTGTTTCTCGTTGCACTTTCCAAAAAGATCAAACGAGCAATTGCAGAACACCTGTTGCGATTTGAATAAGCATGATCGATGTTTTCCTTCAGTTGACACTTGTTAAAGATCGATTAAATATTTAGTTAGTTATTGATTCTTTTTATTTTTTTAGTTATATATCTTATTGTATCAATAATAATGGTAACATTGATTTGTATATACATTAATTTGAATTAATTTTCAAATATAAAGTATTTTATTTAAAATTTCAATATCTAAATATTAACTAAATTAATAAATTCGTTTCTTATTAAATTATGGTTTAAAATATTATATAAATCCTTTTCCTTATTATTTTTATGCAAGAAAATATCTATTTAGTGAATTCTACTTCTTTTTTTGTGGTCCCCCGTGGGCCCTAGGTACTGTACCTAATTGATTTATATTTGATGCAATTCCTAAAGATTTAATTTATAAGAAATAATACAATTAAAACATTTATTCCAATGTTATGGTAAATTATATTAAATGTAATCAAATTATATGGGTTATTTGTTGGACATGAAAGGATACGTGGTTGTTATTTCTTAAAGGCAATACATAATTGATTGGCATTATACGTGCGATCCCATTGAACATTGCGACACAGCTTCGAGCCGGTCTGAAGACAAAGAACGGAGCACTCCGAAGACAATATAAACTTTAAATTACATGCAGAGAGAAAAAATATCTACATAACACACCATGAAGCGAAACAGCTAAAAAAAACTGAACAGTTTTATCATGCTCATATTCCTTCCTTTGTTGTTGTCGTTTTCAAATTGAAAGAACAAAAAAAAAACACACAACAACTTGGGAGTTAAAAATGACCTTTCCAAGTCCCACGCTTAAAGACTAAAGAGTTAATAATGCTCGGACGACCTTGCCGCGGTTCTTAAATGTGAAATCGAAAGTGTCTGTGGGTTCTCTCTCGCATTTTGCTCTCGCGTGTCCTTTTTGCGCTCTCAAAATTTTGTTCGAAGCTCCATTTTCGGATCATCCCACGACCATCCAGTGGGTTTCTTTTGTTTTGGAAAAGCTTCACGTTAAGCGTTTGAGGTGATGGATCGGGCTGGTTCTTTTTTCACATGCGGGTATGGATGATTGCCGTTGCGTAACGCATCATCGCATGCGCTGCATCAATTTATGCGGATTTCTGCTGTGCGGATAGAAAACGGGCCGACATTGAGCTCGAAGGTCTCGGTTTTATATAACACTGGTAACGTGAATAAAAAATTAAACCAGAACAAAATCAATTATTTCAATCAACTATTCCGAGAAATTATTCAATCCATTAATTAAATCCATTGACCTGTCAGACACTTTTCGTAAAGTTGGCTCAACAAAATAGTATCTTTACGATTTAATTCATTATTCGCAAATTAATAAGGATAAAATAGACGCTTTATATGGATATTAAAGAAAAAACAACAAAGATTGAAATAAGCTATCTTTCATTTCTTAATTGTAGCGGTTTTTATATAATAAACTGTCAAATTTGAAGACATAATTTTTAGATCTCTACTTTTTACTTAATTACTCCAAAAATGATTTAGTTAGAGTAGAGATTAAAGATGAATATTTATGTAAAATTTACATATATTCTAATGAGCTATTAGTCACTATCGTGGTGATATTAGGTTTTACGTAATAAACTGTCAAAGTTGAAGAATTATAATAATCTACTTCATTACTTAAAAAGTAATATAGATAGAATTACTGTTAAATAAGTATATTAAAGAAAAATCTAGATAGATTCCTATAAGCAATTTCGTGGAATTAGCGGTTTTTGCGTAAGTTAAATATATTATTTTGAAAGTACAAAAATCGTTTTGCCAAAAAGATACAAACAATAAACTAAAAGTATTTGTAGGTGTTCGAAATGGTCTGCGAAGGTAATTTCTTTCGATCCGACTGTGGTAGGTGGGTGCGGTCCCTCCATGTATGTGTTGCGAATTGCACACATTCATTTTCTGCGTGTCGAGCTACCAACGAACGATACAGGAGAGAACTGAGGTGAGCGAGCGTTGGCGCTTTTGGTACTCTACTCTGAGTCATTCCGTTCTTGAGCTCAGACATGGCTTAGAAACAAATGGCGTCATTGGATCCGGGTTGCAGGATTTCATCGAATCAAATGATACCTGCACGAATATGGAATAGCTACATATTTAATGCATGACCGATGCTGTGCAGACGCAATCTATTTATATACTTTTTGGTATTTTTTAGATTTTCACCAGATATTACGTCTACTTATTCATCTGGTTCTAATTGATATTAAATGACCTTTGAATGGATTGTAAAGTAATTAGCATACATTTCATATCAACAACCTACTACTACTTTTTTTTTACTAATATGTGTATGAACTTATTTGGTAAATACAAGTTTTTTTAATTAACAATAAATGTTAGAATATTGAATTTAACATAATCATAACAGTTTATAATTGTTTTGATTATTTTGTTTATTAACTATAACTGATTATTTTTATGAATGAAATTTGAATTTTAATTAGTATTAAATCTAATGATTAAGAAATTATAAGATTATTTGATAATTAACGAAAAATAAAAAATGGACTTTAGGAATTATGTAAAGATATGATTCATTGTTCAAAATAATAAACAAGTTTTCTTAATTGCTTTAACGACAATTAACTTTTTATTTGCAAGTGTTATGGTCATTTGCGTTAAGCAAAAGTGGTGCAATTGTGTCTGCAAAAAAAAAGGTAAGATCTCGTTACGAATTGTTGCTCCCAAGGTGATTTTAAATTTGCTATATGAGCTCGCAAAGACGTTGGAAAGTCAAAATCACTGAAATTGGATTGGAACAATTTGAACGCGTTTCACAACATTTCGAAACGAAAATACATTAGTCATCTAATTCAATATTAGTTTTATAATCAAATATTTTTTTTGTTCTTAATTAAATATTTCTTAAGATAAAATTATTAATTTGGAAAATATATTACGGAAATCTTGTATAATAGTTTTGAACTTAATGTAAAAATTAAATATATAATGAAATTTTGTTTGCTACTTAGAACAAATTGTTTTTTATAACTATTTATAATTATTAGAAATAGGTAATTGGTAATTATTAAGAAACTAATGATAAACACATAAAATTATTGGTGTTTTTATTTAAATTCTTGTAATTATATACAAGAATTATATGCAATGAAGATGTGATGGTAATAAGAAGTTTGTTTTGCATTATATTTATATTGTATAATTATATATGCATATAAAAAGTAAAGAAAATATTTAAAGTTTAAACGTGTATTAATTCTGTTTGTTTCACAGTTTCTTACTAATTGAATGATAATTAATGGTAAGATGGAAAACACATCAGTCTTATTTCTAGGCATTGATTTACAATTTAAATGAGATTTTCAATAGAACTAAATGATTTTCTAGGTGAGAGATTGTTAAGAAATATATCTTTGCATTCAGTAATGAGTATGCAATTGTGTCAACAAATTAAATAATGAAATAATAGTTTTAATGATTCGGGGACCCAACCAGTACTGTTTGACATTCGCCCGACATTTGAACGTAAATTACTGAAAAAGTGTTATAGTTACAAATGTGACACATTATACGTTTGAAAGCCCAAATATTTAGCTTCAATATGCGTGTAACCTCATTATTGTATCTTGAATAGTTATTGAGAAAATTGATGATTTGTGAAGAAGTTTCCAAAGCTTAAAAATTTAAATTTGATATAACTATATTCCTTCAATCACATTTGCATTATGTTTTATTATAAACATGAAACTATTATTACTAATAAATCAATCAATTTTAGTATATTTCTTCAAGTAAAGTTTGCTGTTGAATGTTGTAAATAACGATTGATGTCTATTTCATTATTTATGAAAGAAATCGAAATGTACAAGCATAGTAATTGAGAAATGCTGTTCTTCGGATTTTCTTAATTGCTTTGGCCGTTTACGTCTATTAAAAAACTTTCTTCGCGCAAAGCATTCGGCCTGGAAATCCAATTTTCCTCAATCGCACCAAATGCAGAAGAAGCAACAACAACAAACGAACAACAACATTGCGCAACGTGCGACGACCGCCTTGAATTTTCTGCCTTTGAAGTTGCATCAGTCCAGTGTTCATCGGCTAAATAAGGAATCGATGCAAGAAACGAACGTTCGCTAACTGAACTAGCCAACAAACTAACAAACAAAACAATAACAGCTGTGATAGAAGAAAACAGACACGAACACACGCGTATGTCTATATGTATGTAACAGAATGCATTTCAAGGTTCCAACCTATTTACAATATTATACCGAGTGATCTTGAGAAGTGTGTGCGTTTGTGATCTTGAGAGAAGCGAGTTGCAATTATTGGGTAACAGATATTTGCATAGTCTGTAAATATGCTTTCTGAAAACCGGTTTTTCGGATAAATTTGAAAAAGATTAAAACAATTATATTTTACATTTTCAGTATTTAAGGCAACCAACCAATTTCCATAAAAATTGTAAACATTTTTTAATTTATTTTATAATATTTTGTAGTTCCAAAATATTTATTTTTGTTGTATTTTTTTTTGTACAATTTAGAAAACTGATTTAAACCGGTTTATTTGGAAATATTGAAATTGGAAAACCGGTTTTTGTAAAAAATCCTTAATTTGTAATGATGACTTACCAATTCGGTGCTCATCGTGTTGCAACCTCTTAATGGAAGTGTGTACTTGATGGGTGCCTTCCTCTGAACCCATTCGCCCATGCAGGTGCTGTTCTTGGAGAGTCCTCTTGGATAGATCATACCGTTGAAACGTCCCGTCTTCGTGCCGATGCTTACGACCATTTCGTCGCTGTTGCATTCCACGCGTATGTCCGACGCGACTTCCGGTGCTTCTACAAATCGAAGAAAGAAAAGAAAAATAAATAAATAAAAAATTAAATAAAAGAAAAGTGTAAGTAATAATTAAAGAAACACCACAGGATGTGACGACCATAAGGCCCCTATGTACGTCGGGGAAATTGTACGTGATTTATTTACATAAGCTGCGTTCCACCATGGAGATAATATGGATAACGCAGCGGAATTGCTTTCAGGTGGGATCGTTGCACGGTTCTTTTCTACCTTCGTGGGATCCACCTTAGTCGTTTCTTCGCAAACTGTACGAGAGTGCGTTCGTCCCGAATAACGTATAAATTTGCAATTCTTATTTTATTTCAATCTAATTCGCGCTTCGTTTAAACACAGTTAGATGACCAAATTTGACCAACTTAAGACAATATTCAAATTAGGATTCATCCGGTGAATTCATTTAAATTTACTAGCAAAAATTTAATTATGTCCCATTTCCAATAACAAAAAAAAAGTATGCCACAAATGGGCATCATGGTTATTTCTGTTTATATCAATATATCAAAAGTCAACGACATTACAGTTACTTATTTATAAGCTTGTACTAACATCATTTTTTTTTAAATACTTGATTCAAACAATTAATCATTTACTATAAATATTTTTAGTATTCTAATTACTTTACAGTTAGAATCTAAAATTTTATGTGATGACTTTCAATAAGAATTGATTTTTTTTAATATTGATTATTTAATGAATTACAATAAACATTTTTTATTTATTTTAGAATTGAAGTAAAATTCAATCATAATTTTGTACCAGAAATCTTGTATTTTTATTAGTAAAGTTATTATTTTTGAATGTTTTGATATAGTTGAATATTTATGAAACAAATCATAGTGTATTAATAGTTTGCTAAGTAAACATATAATAAATGTTGAAAGATAAGTTTGTAATAGAAAACTTTACAAATTTTACTATTTAATCGTCAATTTGTATAAAATTAAATATTTATTTTATTAACTAATGTAATTTAATTATATGTTGAGATATTGTAATTCACACCTAATGCACTGATGTAAATTAATACGTAGTCAAGGTAGATGAGAATATTTTTCAAAGATTTATCCAAAGCCAAAGTCACGAAATGTTCCTTGAGAAATTTGAATGCCAACAGGGTTTGGCGGACAATTTATATTCCACATCCGAAGGATAAAGCACAAAAAATCCAAATTATATGTAATTTTTCCGCTTATCTTTTATACTACTTTTCATTTATAACCTATAATTGATTGATTTAATAGCTCACATTAAGTTGATTTTTAATTACAAAATTAGTTAAATTTTTTTTGAAGATTTATCCATTAGAACTTTAATAAAAAAAATGTATGATGATCTCATGTTGATTAATATTGACTCAATTCAAGAATATATATTCTCACTAGATTAGAATTTGAAAAATCTAGTGAATAACCTTGGCATTCAGTTTGTTATTAAACTCAACTTTGTACAGTTGTAAATCACTAGAATTCGCACTTTTTGACCTCAATAAAAAAAAATCAGTACGCTTCTTTTTAACAAAACCAAATGTTTTGATCAAAAATGCAAATCCGTGAATAAATTTTATATTTTACATATAATTTACAGTTAACTTTAAATTTTTTTGTTAAACTTAATTATAGCAATAAACTTTGATTAATAATTGTTAGAAAATATTTGATTTGAGAACAAAATAAATTTTGTAATTAAATTTACAAATTTCATGTTTCATAAATACTAAAATTAATAGCATTTTTTTTGGTGTAAAGATGAAATTAATTATGTAATTGAATATTATATTTTAAATTTATAATAACATTTTTGTTTTTTTAAATTTTTTGTTAGAAATTATTTTTCATGATATGCATATAATTTGCAACACTTCAATGAACATGCGATGTATTGTTTTTCGTCCCATTTGCAGTTTAAAAAAGTGTCGAAAGTCAAGAAAATTACGTGAGATGATGTAAGCCTTCTTGCGTGGAATATATTCAGCAAGAGTCGAGACGTTCTTATTTAAGATACGATCAGCTCCGTCTTTTACCGTAAGGAAATTGTTATTACTTCCATTCCTTGCAATCATAATTTAACAACAACATACTTAAATTAAAATAAAATATTTCTTTACAATTTGTCCACAACATGATTTTTAATATTTGATTGATTATTTAATGTTGCATCCACATAGAGTGCGGTGTAAGGTTCACTAACTTTTATGTTACATGGTAGCAACACAATAGTTTCCATGACAACCAGTGGCGTAGCTACTTCATAGTATAAATCAGTGGTTTCCAAACTTGAAGTTACTACGCCTCCCTCAAAAGTATGTAATCATTTGGCGCCTCCCCTTTCATAAAACGAATGCGCATTACAGCAATATGGATAAGAGCACAGTAATATATCGATACTTGCTACATGCCCCAAACATTTAGCTTTCATATGCATCTTTTGGATTAATTCTATGTATTATAGTTTTCGAGAAAATCAATGAAATGTAAAAACACTGCTATTTCGAACGTTCTCATTTCAATTTTTTTTAAATATTAAAATGAAATTGTTCTTATTTTGTTTTTTTCCAGCGAACTTAGCGAACTTTTGTTAGACCCCACGTATATTCTTATCTGATCTATTTTAATTTACTTATAACAAAAAAAACATATGTTTCTAATAAATAAGTTATGATTTTGAAATTATATTGGAATTCGTATCGATTTGGGAAAGTACAATATTCATATTGGAAATGATCTAATAGAACTTTCCAAGTTATGAAACAATAGGCTTAGCAAAATGATATACAATTGTTTCCGTGTAATAGCCTCTAGGCAAAAGGTTAATTACCATCTAGAAAATGATTACCTTCACCAAAATGGGTATTTACGACTATCCGTTTTTATCTGCTCCCTGCTAACCTAAACCTCCCCCCCCTTCGACCACCCTCGACAACCTTATTTATTGACAGCGTAATAACAAAGGCTAAGTAAGGCTCGGACGAAAATGATACGATCAATTTATGTTATCTTATTACTAATTACACGGCGAAAAGGTAAACGCATCGATCCAACCGTGCTCGAGGTTTGCATTATGAGCCTGTATCTGCGACTACACACACAAGTACATGTATAAATACAAGTGTATACTTTATATGTGTCTGTAAATCTATATGTAGTGTGCGTGCAATATCTGGTTTATGGTTACAAATAAAAATAAATTTACGAGCCACTTGATGTCAAGCCGGGACCGTCCTAATCATTTTTATAAATCACAACTCCTCCAATTAATTGCTTACATAATAATAAGCCGGCGATAAATTCGGATTGCAGTAACTCAACATCACCATTCCGGAGTTTGAAGAGAGCAGATGAAAGTAATAGTAGGAATAAGAAAGAAGTTGTACATGTACACATGTGCATCGAAGCATAGAAATGACACATTTATGGGATCGATTCAAAAATTGTATTACCGAATTACAAACTTTATGGTTGACTTTAAGTTGAATGCAAATATAGAGTGACGAAAAAATTACGACATTGCTCTTGAACACTTCGTCCTGAATGGTCCAATTAAGCTGTTTATGCTTATATAACAAACGCCAATGTTGCATTCAAAATCACTATAAAAAAACTTTTTTTTACTTTCTTTAATGTTAAATTTAATAATACTAATAAAATAATATTGTTCAAATTAAGAAAATCTAATACTAGCATTAACTTTCAAACAAAATAATTAATTGAATTTCAGAATTATTTCTTTCAATTTAAAAAATATTGTATTAATCAATGGATATTATGGAGTTAAACAATTAACAATTAAATATATTGGATAGGATTTGAGATGTTAAAGTGGAAAACCGATGTAAACCGAATTATCTGTAATAGATACAAACGTACAATGCATGCATTCAATCAACGCTTAATGTACACACGCCAAGCACTGATTTACTTATTTAAACATGAAACCAGGCTAACACGATAATAAATTTAAACATGCCTGCGAAACTATCGAACAGACTACACTTATTTGTTAACCAATTGTTCTAAAATTAGCGGAGCCGGCTTGATTAAAAGCGACTCCAACCATTATATAATATTACTCACATCATGCAAACGATTCGATAATCATTTATTAACAACGTTTATTCCTGAAATGTTCACATTTATTGCAATATTCCCATTTTAACAATAAAATATTATTTGATTATCTTCACCCAAGTACCAAAAAAAAAATAACATTATGATCCATTAATTTTATCTATAATAGATTGAGTGAATTAACTTTATTCTGTTATTCCGTTTGACCCCTCGCAGATAACATTAATCGATCATTACATAATATTAACCTATTTAATCATAAATCAAAATATCCAATAACCTATCATTTCTTTTCGTATTCATTTAAGAAACAGTAAACTTTCTAAGTTAATGTTCTTCTATCCAGCTGCATTTACAGATCAATAACCACGGTATTCGATTCCAAAACAAAAATCATTTGTATAAATGCGTGTGAAAGTCAATTAACGATTTCGACCTAATCTCTACGATGAAAACATTCCAATTAAATTATTTCGGTTCACATGTTTGTTAATTTATATCTATAGCAAATTAATTAATTTGGTTTAAATATAGGCTTCGAGCATGCATAAAAGCAATTATCATTAATATAAATGCTAATTAAAGAAAGAAAGAAAAAACGACTGTGAACACACAGGAAGCGTTAGATCGTAAATCCCAGTAAGTTAAAAAACTATTGCATCACGAATCTATTTTCGAATCCAAGAAAATTTATCATCGAAATATACTAATTTAGACTCACTCGTTTCAAACACAATTTTAGCTAAAATTTATGAAACATTTCTGCAAATAATGAAGTAGGAAGAAATGTTGAGGTATTAGCGAATCAATAAACCGACGAAATTAAAATAGCAGATTCCGAAATAGATTTGGGTTTATTAATAGAACCGTGGACTCAATTCTTCGCAACTTTTTTTTTTTATTTTCAAATGTATTTT